AAAAAAAAAAAAAAAAAAAAAAAAAAAAAAAAAAAAAAAAAGACCATTTAGGAGGTATCAAATGTGGAAAAAATGTTATCCCATATTTCTCACAAGCAAAAATTTAACAACTGTTGCTAATCCTTCATACATATGTAAATATTTTAATAAAAAAAAAAATAATAATAAATACTTCCCCCCCGTTGGTGAGCTAATTCATTGTGAGGTGTCATAGTTTGAGGAGGGTCAACTGGAAAATTCCCCGTTGGACGAACGCACAGGCAAATGTGTCATTTTATATTTATGTTGCTCGGGCCAAATAAGTGTATGTATACCAGCTTTTTTAAAAAAAGCGGCTACTGAAAATTAATCCGACACATGTTTGTTTCATCATAGATGGGAAAATAAACACAATCATTGTTACCCCTGCACGTCGCGGGTGCCTCTCCAACGAAAGGCGATTTTGTACTTTAAACCATGCAGGGCTGAGCGTGCCACAAAACGCAGCTGCATTTTTTCTTTATGCGGACCACGGGGTGGAAATAATAAATAATCACGTACCCCACATCCATATAAATTGCGCCAGCTCGTAATGCCCAGTAGTAATATAACGCGCAATGCGTGTAAAATTCCCTGTGCCTTTTATTTTGCGCCCACTTACGCGTTTTTGCCCATGAAAAGAAAAAAGCGCACAAAACAAATTCATCAAAAAATGTTTTAAATCGTTTTGCATTAAGGGGTGGGGTTCACCATCACTATGAGTGTATGAACAATTTTTTAAGCCAAGAGATAGAAGTAAAGGAAAATATATATATATATATATATATATATATATAAAATAAAAATGAGAACTTTCATAACTTAATGTAGCGAATAAGGAACGCTTGATGCTGTTTTGAAATTTTTTACATGAAGTTTCGTAATGATCCTGTCACGCAAAAGAAGATCTCACTTGGCGCTTTCCTCCCTCCGCAGTTATCCCCAATATTTTTTTTGCATCAAATGATATCACCCACGCACATTTGTGGTATGCAAATGCGTATGTAATATATTTTTAAAGCGCTGCTCACACTTAGCAGTTTTATATTGTAACATAGTGTACGCAGGGGCCGTGGTAAGTAGATGTGATGCCCAGAACAACGAACAGAAAACAAAACAATGCTGTTATGGAAACATGTTTACTTGAGTGAAAAATATGCCCGAGCAGGTAACCCTATATCCACGTGAATTGATGCAGCTAGCCATTTAGAAAGCATCCAATAAGAAATTTAAAAAAAAAAAAAAAAAAAAAAAGAGAAAAATACAGTGTCCCCCCAAAAAAAGAAGCCCCAGTGGCCCATATAAATGTTAATGCGCCCCGCTCACCTCCCCCCCGCATAGTTACGCACAATTATGTTAAGGTAAGGACGAGGTTTTATAACCTCCCCTCCCAGATTGAATAACCCTCCGCGGCGCGCCTTTTCACTGCGCCCTTCCAATGTGACAGAATCACGAAACATGCAGAACAAATCGAATAACCCGAGCATTCCCGGTCTGCCTGGACTACCAGGAATCCCGGGCCTGCCGGGTATGCCAGGATTACCTAATATGCCGGGCTTGCCAGGTCTTCCGGGCATGCCCAACATGTCGGGTCATCCGATGAACGGCCAAGGTGTAAACAGTGGTGGACCCTACATGAACAGTAACTCGATGGGCCAATTACCCATGCCATTTCTACCAGGAATAATGCCATCTATGAACCCGTCAGATTTTTATGGAAAGAATATGATGCACATGAATCCAGGGGCAGGACCCTACGACAACTACAATCCCCTCATGTATGGACAGCATGCTAACATGAATATCCCCATGCCGCCAGGCGCTGTAGACCTTATGGGAGACATGGCGGCTATGAATATGGGGAACCCTAATATGATGAAATTGTACAATAAAGATTTTATGAATAGTAGTTCACACAAAGGGATGGGCAGTCATGTGGTAGGGGCACAATTGGGAGGAAACATAGTGAACATTCCCATGAACTACATGAACAGTTTAAGTGGAGAAAAACACGGGTGGTGTGAAATGGTAGCAAAGAATGGA